TATTAGTAGCACTACAGTGCAGGTGAGCACCACATCCACTGCACTCTATGTCCGAGGGTATGGCCTTTGGATCAGGAGTTCCGTAATTCCTTCATTCAATTCATATAAATATTTCCATAAATAAGAAAAATTAATAAAAAGCTATAAAAAAGAGTCAAACAAGTGAGGGTTGGATGGGTACAAGACCTGCTAATAACATAATATGTTATGCTAATATTGTGTGTATCGCTCCAAGGTTAATAAATTTATACAAAGTTATGTTCCGAAGGGACTGAGTTTAGCGGACATACACCTGTACTGTCCGTTTATTACCGTATATTAACTTATTAATACTAAATCACTACTTTTACTAACTCATAAAATCTACCTTGATAAAATGAGAATCCTGATAGAAAAATATAATGATACTGTACACTATATCTATGAGTTACATAAAGTCTAAGTGAGTGTAGTAACATTTATAGTACCGTAATACTGGTATCATATACATGTACCATACAGTATACTGTATGATAATTTTAATTAACTACGGTACATTGTAGTGATTACAGTATGATGATATGCTATGCTATGGTGAATACTGCACTGAATAACAATACCGGTAATGATTATTGTTTATAAGATTAGGAGTATTGTAGACATAATTACCTCAACCAGAACTGGTCTCTCCATCCCTCGATCTCTCCCTCGTATTCATCGAGTTTCAAGCCTTTCAAAGAAGTGGCAAAATATTGCATTAAGTGGTGATGTTTTAAATAGTCTTCGTATTCATTGTCAATGAGTCCGCTTTGAAATCGCGGCGACTCTTGTATCGCGTCATCCGTTTCATCGGATTTCATGAGATTTTGCTTTTGTTTCACATAAGAAACCAATTCATACGGAAAGCGAAGAATTTTATCCTTCTTTGCCATCAATTGGTTTTGAGTTTTATTCAAATTCTCGAAATAAAGTTCTTTGGATTTCTTGTAAATCATATGAATTTCACTCAACTCTTGCGGCACTTTGTGCTCAAAATTGTCTAAAAAAACTCTTAACGAAACGGGAATCGTCTCGTAAAGAGTCAATTGGGATGACCGTTGCGTTTGGTTTAACCTAAACGACGACTTCTTCATCACTTGACTCCAGAACCGGGGTTTGTCTCCATCTCCCAAACCCGTCAAAGAGATGGGAAGTGGAAGTAATCTTCGCGTCCTTTCGATGAGTTGTGTTTTCCGCCATTCAGTCAATTGTGGAAACGTTTCTCTCCCGAGAATATCAACAGTTAGTGATGTCTTTGGTTTACCATCGATTGGATCCACAATTCCTATGGGAGTCTCAAAGATATTCAAAGACTTTGTTTGCTGTTTATTGTCCACCAAATAGTATTTCCTCAGATTCATCAAAGCCTTGTGTTTGACCACCGATTGTCTCGATTGTCGACTTTGATTATAATTGTAACCATTGATACACTTTTGACAAACTCTTAAGACACCACTTCCCGGTCTTTTCAGTCCATTACTCCATAGTAACACTTCCATCACTTATGCGATTATCACCAGTTGTCCACAACTCATGAGTTGTTTGAATTGTGACAATACATGAACTGAATGAACAGCTGAGCTGTGGTTCAAAAGAGATCACAATTCACTTCACAATCACTTCAATCGGCATTTAAATTGTGGTCAATGTTTACAACACGTGCTCTCCATAAATGACGCACAGAGTGGACGGACAGGTCTTTTGACAGTCATTTCAATAGACTTTCTCTCAAATGTCATTCAAGTGTTTGTCACTTCCCTTCACTACACAGACATTTAGCGTAACTTTATTTCTTAATATTGGAAATGATTTTATTGCAAATGAAATGAAAAGCAAAGTCATGTGAAACCCAACAGATATTGCCATAAAATGTATAAATAAATTACACACAAAAAGCCCATTAATCCGTAAACCCCTTACCGGTAAATAAACTAAATATAAAGCAATTGTCATTACATTTACATTATTTCTTTCGCGACTCTTTACACGCGATTACATATCTCTGGGGAACGGAAAGCGGTGGCGAATATCCGTCTGAATAACTCGAGTCCTCGAAGAGTACCTGATATTCCTGTTGAGCTGTTTTGGGCGGGTCTTGGATTATAGCCCTATAGAAACACGTCGTCTGCGGATACAGTGCTAAGACGAGGGTATCCTTAGGGAAGAGGGCGTCGGGATCTGTTTCCGGGTTAGCTCTCATCAGTGGAAGGGGTAGTACTCGGCGTCGACTCAGGATATGTCTGTCCTTCTGTTCCTCATCGATGTCATCGATTTCGTATTTGTTTGAACTGTGGTTATAGTGAACCACTTCCGCGAGAATCCAGTTTTCGTCGCCATCGTTACCCTTGACGAGAGCGGCCACGAGATCACCCATTTTGGCCGCGTATTGGGCCTCCGCTCCCATCGCTCCGCACAGACTGACCACAAGACAAGACAATACAAATACAACACAATTATCATTAGTCATGTCATTAACCATTAGTGTATGTAAAAGTCAATTACGGAGGAGTCGTGTCTTCGCTTGATTTGGGAACAAACAGCGGAAGAGTTGCGGCGTTTTGTTGAAGCATTTTCATGAGAGCCCCTCTCCTGATGGCCGTCTCTTTGGTGAATCCGTGTCCAGGCTTTCGTTGTCGACTCTTCACGACAGACCGTATCTCATGGATCACGTCCAACGCCTTCCTAATGATATCGGACTCGCTTTCTGTGTCCTGAAGGGCAGTCTTGTAGAGACCTTTGAGTTTGTGTTTATAATAAGGCTTTTGTGGTTCGGTTTGCATCCTCTCATGAGTTTTGGTGATATTCGTTAAGTTGTGTTCAGATCTGTTCACCTCTTCGTTGATTTGAGACAATATTTGGTGAAATTCACGCATTTTCTCGTTTATGATAAGACTCTCAGAGTTGGATAAACCGGTGAAGAATGTGTTGTTTGTCTCGCTTTTCTGCATTTTGTCCACAATTTCGGTTCAATTGGATTCACT